GCTTTTTCATATGTAATTGATAGATTAAAACACAAATTGTAAATACTGTGGATAGAATAGTAGGGGATATGAAAGAATACAATAACGCTTTGATTCTTTTCCTAATAAGTAAATAAAAAAATAACTAAAATTAAAAGTTCAAAAAAGTTTCAGACATTCAATAGACGTACAAAGGGTTTTCCCGAATAATAAGTCTGAAGATATTTCAGATATTTTTCAAGTATATAGGATAAATTAAAACCAATTGCAATCCAATTTCTTTGCTTGTTTTACAAAACATACACAATCTTTGTTTCTTTGCAGCATTTTTTTTTTTCATTTTCATTTTCTAATGCGAGACTGGTGAAGACACTCTTGTAATTTTTATTAAATTATGCTGAAAAAGCCTGATTTTAAAATAGGGTCGTTGGATTTCTTGTACAATCAACTTATTCGTCAGTAGTTTGTCTCTGTTTAAAGAAATTATCGTATTCAAAGCATGATCTTATGTATCGAATAATTTGGTAGGTATAAACAGCATTGCAAGTAATGTTTGCTATATGAGTAAAAGAAGCTCAGCGCTGATTAAAAAACGGAAGTCATTTCTGTTTGTCATACACTTTAGTATTAGTTGGCTATTATTGGCTTTAGTCACTAATGCATCCAAATTTAAATCAGATGCATCTTTCAGTGGAATATATCAATTCGACATACGATTGAAAGTAACTACTGTTTTTGATCAAACGCAATCGATTTACAGTTTCTAAATGTTTAGTTGAAGGCCGCAACAAGAGTTTTTTTTTTTGAATTTTTTACCTCAGGAAGAAGTTTTTGAATAATTATTTTTCAAATGATTATAAAACGGGTTGCCTAACAAAGGAGCACAATTAGAGACTATCGAATCTCCAGTAGATCGTTGGAGGACGCGGTATCCAAAGACTACATTTACTACGCCAATGAGGGTCTCCGTCACCTTCTTTCCTTGCGTTGAGGCTTTCAGTACTTATGTGCTTATAGAGTAAGAACGATTCTTTAACAAAATAATCTTTCAGATGAGAAATCAAAAGAGATGACTATTTTCCGAGTTTAATTTTTATTGAAGATGAAGTTGTCCATGCTATAAAAAAAATCTTATCTTTATTTTGTTCACGAGGAATCTTTGTATTGTCTGTTTTGATATAACTGATTTTTTTTTAATGCGATTTTAATTTTCGATCGATTGATTGATGATTGTATGTTGTTGAAAGTCCCTCACGAAAATTTTTCACTCATATGGAGACGCCACCACTTGACGGTGTAGAGCAGCAAATTTTGCCCTATGCTCGGCACTTTGGGCCATTGAGTAATATAAAGAGTCTTTTTTGTGCCAGCACCTAATGCAACACGGGACCTCGGTTTACACGGTCTCAACCGAAGGACCGGTCTCCATGTCCCACAATGGGACTCGATCGAACCCAAGACGTTAGGATGAACTCCTTTCTTCGCAACTCTAGAGCACACCCTCTAACCACTGCGCCACGCAGGCAACTTAATTTTTCGAAGAGTTCATCGTGTTCAAAGACATTACACCACTTTTTGAATATGTTGTAACACAGTTGGTTATGTTGTAACACAGTAGGTTATGTTGTAACACAGTACCTCTGAAGTTTTTATTTTCTTTTGTGAGGAGCTAGTGTACATGTAGTTTGGGATTGGTATAATAGTTGCTTGAACCTGCAATTTATCTTTCATTTTTACGGATTTTCATGAAATTTAGAAATGCTATAAAGACCAGAAGCGACGGTTAAAAAACGTACAGTAATCGACTGTCTGAGCCAGAATTTCATATCTATTGAAGAAACAGTTCATATCTATTGAAGAAACAGTTGTCTACGATGACAAAAAGTCCGGTCTGAAATTTTTACTGATTTCAGCGTTGAAAAGTCATTTATTTGGTGCTATTGACGTTTGGAACATTTTGAGAGTTTATTGCTCCATCATAGCAGTTAATATTTTGGTGAGGAATAAGGTAAGGGGCTTGGTTGAACAATTTCTGATCCCTGCAAAATATCCTTGTTTGTATCATTATAATTATGAAGGGTAAATTTTACTCAATTTCAGTGGAATTGGATGTTTAACATTTTTAGCACGAAAAAGAATTTATCTGAAATATCCCATTGAAAGATACCACAAAGTCTGGAACATCTATACCATACTGGGATGTTTGACTTAAAAATAACATTGAAGACAAACCAATCCACGTGTTCAAAAAATGACGCCATATTTTTTATCGTCAACTTCATTTACATGTAAGAAAAATAAAGATAACGAAAATCTATCATTCTCAGAAGTGCTTTTAAACAATACAGATAAAGAACAGAGCAAAAACGAACCTCTAAGAACATCAGATATGGGATCTTGTGTTATAGACATGTGTCGATCGGTCACATCCAACGTGTACCCCTTGTCATGATTGGTTAAACGGAAAAATACGTGAGAATTCGTTAAAAAAAAATGTCAGTCAGCATTTGCCTTAATGAGAGATCTGCCGACAAGGTAATTAAATCGGCAATTTAGAATTTGCTAAATGTTGACTTCAGACGAGACTTGATATTTTTGTTACATCAACTTATATGTCAGTAGCATGCGTTGCTTCAAAAATTTATTCATATAGAGAGTATATGAATTGCTCGTGTGTATCGAATCAACTTGGAGATAAAAAAAAAACTCTGTATGCAGATTAAATGATGTGTTGCTATATAAATAAGGTTTATGAAAAGTTAAAGTGATCACGTTCATCATTCATCACCATCAATGTCCTTGTCTTGAAAAATATCCAAATATTTAACAGACAGATGACACGAATAACATTAGGTATGTCGCTTGATAAATGAAACATTGTTTCTATATGAGTGATTTCATGTTATCTTCACTTGCAAACCTTTAATTAAGAACTGATTTTATTTAGATTACACATGATCGGTCGAACAATATTTTAACATACTTTTTCTTTTCATTTTTTTTCTCTCTCCTTACATTAACTATTGTTTAATGCACATAAACAGGGCAACACTTAGGAGGGTCATCATATGGAACACTCTAAATGATGTTAATTACATACGAGTCTGAAATACGAGTACACATGTCTATTTTTTTATGAGGAGGAACTTTATTTTCTTTAATATTAACACTCTCTTGATCATAACGGAAAAGTGTCGGAAATTGAAACTAAATACAGGACAGGATAATAAACTAAATACAGGACAGGATAATAACATTAATCATCAGAAGGTAAAGCATTCCAAACTTAACGTTCCATAAGATATTCACTTATTATTGTTGCTAGTATCTTCCTGTGACCAACACCAATGAGTTCCATCCTTTGTTCTCCCTTCTGACGTAGTTGATAAACCAGGCATAACATTGCTGTTCTTCTCTCTTGGTCTTTATTTTACTACGACAGCAAGTTCCATAAAGACTTTATAATGCCTCAAACTGTGTGGGCCTTGCAAGTGTGCAGCAGAGCTTCCTCTGATAAATAGTGCGTCGTAGACTTCCTGTTTCCATACATCCTGCACAGAGGATCTTCTGTTAGACCCATATATATGTTATTAATGAAGTGCAAGATAGGATTCAAACTTCTTTCACCCGCCATTTCATAGAACTTGTTTCTGATATAATCACTAAAAATATATTTATATATTTGTTTGACATATAAAAAAAAATTGGACAAAATAAAATAGATGGAGATAACGATCAGTATTTGAGATAAAAAGTACATTGAACATTACAAAATAGGAGCGGAGCAAAAACGGACCTCCAAAACATCAGAGGCGGAATCAGGTGCGCTGGAGGAGTGAGCATCCGCTGCGTACCGAGACCGATGTGGTTGGTGCTAATTTATGACGTAGCAATATCATGGCTTGAGAACTTGGAGAAAACGATCAACGGTAATGTTAGAAGATGGTGATGAGCTCCGTCGATTGTGAATTGAATAAGTCCCTTTACCAAGCATGGCACAAAGAGAGAGAATGAATGTACCGGTTGATCAGGGGGAGCAGAACTTAGTAAGCAGGGGGCTTGGATAGGTGTTAGGTTTTACAACGCAGTTTACATGACATAGTCGGACCTTTTGGAGAATGAACAGTTCAGAATTATGTTTTCATTGTGATCGATATATCTATAACTATTATTTTTAACATAAAAACGTAAGTCAAATTGCACAAAAAATATCTCTTTACTAATAAAAATGTGTGAAACATTATTGTCAACTTCATAACTATGTTTTCAGGTATGGTACTCCAAAGCCACAAGAAGCATTATTTGGCCATTGCTCTATCTTTTTTTTTTAATATTTGCTTTTAGTTGAACCTTGAGAGAAGTAATGTAAGTATAAGTTATAATAGAAAACTCCTTCCTGTGAGAAAGCGGTCACGATGCTGCTATACAATTCTCATACATCGAACATAATGGTTTTTTTCTCCATGTTTCCGCGTCCCTGACACGAGCCACATCCTGTACATTAAATGTATACTTCCCAGTACAAGCCTACCTTATTATGCAACGGTTTGAGCCTGACCGTTAACGCGCGATTTGCAAACATGTAATATGGTCAAACTTGACTTGTAACATTTGCAGGTGAAATTCGCTGAATAAACATGACAAAAGGGTATTACAACACGTAAATTTATTTAATCAATTTTTAATTCTGAGTTAGCAATTCACTTTCTATTGATTATTATCACATTACCCTGTGTATACCAGAGGTGGGATCAAGAGCGTAAGGGGAGTAGGCATCCCTTTTCAACCGGTCGTTATCCCGAGCTTGTGTATTTTATTGATAAGTTAAACGGAGTAAAGGTTGTCATATTGGCAAAAATATGTGAATCAATAAATGTCCTAACGATGGGTATAAAATTATTTATACATTTACAAAAACACAATTTAATAAAATGAATAGAGAATTTGCATAATTACTAAATTATTTGGGATCTTCGATCTAAATGCATGTAAAAACTACTAGCCAACAGTATAAGAGGAGCCATTTTTGTTTAACATTTATTCTCAAATTGGAAAAAATCAGAGATCATACACATGATAACGATATTCTATATCTAATTTAGATCTCTAAATTCCATGAAACAAAGCTACACAATATATTGAAAGCACAAGATTGAGAGAAAAAAGTTACATAAAATCCGGATAACCTAAGAAGAATTTCGCAACATTTCACAGGGAACCAGAGAAAGAGGAATTGAAAGAACTTCTGAATTCGAACGGTTGCTAAAAATATTCGTTGTTGAAGAAGTTGATTACATAACTAAAGAGACAAATTGAAAATATATCACATTTTTACAAAGCCAAAAACATCTGAATCATGAATACAATATTGACAAAATTCTCCTTGATTATCTAAAATATTAAAATTCATGTTTCACAAATAAAAGACAAGAAAAATAGTCAACATATTGCGAAATAAATCTTTAAATTCTGTGTCACGTGCATATGATAAACGAAGCAAGCAAACAGTCCTATACCTCTAACGAATCATGACACTGCACATCAAAATAAGTCATCAGTGGAGGGGGGGGTCCCTTTTTTTTAAATAAAAAGCAGAGTTAAGGCTGAGGACAACTGGTCATTTAATCAGTGTGTATTAAAATTCAAGGAAAAATAATCTTAAGTTGAACTTGAACATCCTTTTTAAAATTAAAAACTTTGTATCAAATTATTGTGTCCAGTTGTATAGGTATTCAAAAGAGAATTTCTTGGAATTTGTAAATTGGGAATTCTTTTCCATGGGATTTCGTCTATAAATTCATTCTGTGATACACCTCGGATATTTATCTCGAGATATATTCATAAACCAGATTATAGGGGAAGTAAATTTCGTGCAATATGGGGGAATTTTATCTTGGACAATCTCTTTGTTTCTGGTGTCAGTGGGTTTTGGGCAGAATGAAATCGTGACTTTTATTTTGTATTGTTCCGTTTCCCCTACTCTTCATTTTAATCAGTAATATCTGGAAAATGAAATTCCAAAAGAAGAATCAAATGCTTACCCTTTTTCCCACGTACGGAAAAGTATTGTATTATTTAACCACGAAAATGGAGAATTTTTATCTACGAATTACATGTTTCTTTTTCAATTATATTTTACACTTTTCTTAGGATAATTTTTAGACATTTCTTGAACTTTGGCAAAATGGACAACATTTTCAGATTAAAAGATCGTTTCAAGATTAAAGTATTGTGACTACAGGTACAATTACAAATAAACATGTCAGATTTTATAATGATTTTAAGCACTTGTAACAACAAAATCTCAATGTGTGGTATCATACAACTGCAAACATACAAAGTAGGAGGGAGTGATATCGTTATTATCATACAAATTGTTATTAACAGAGATCATATTCGAAACTTTACTAATTGATATTCAATACATTATTGTATTACATGTATGTCTAAAAAATAATAGACACAAGCAATCATAGCCTATCCACACATGACAGTCTTTAAGCATGTTGGAAAATGATATGTTGCCTTTGACAAAGAAAATCCACTTGTTATTTTACCCTGTCGCTGTAACATTTTAAACAATTTTTGGTGGTGTTCGCGAAAAATCAAAAGTATATTATTTCTTTTTAAGCAAGAAAATATAAATTCTTCAATCAATTTATCAAAAAAAAAAAAAAAAAAAAAAAAAAAAAAACAGGATATCTTCACGACGCATTATTGTTCTAAGTAATACTTCTTGTCCATGGTCCTTAGGATCTTACAGACAATCGTTATCAATTACCTCTATTAAATTAATTCAAATCAATGTTTCAATTACATGTATATATTGGGGGGAGGGAGAATCGGAAAACAGTTGTATGGTTGCAGAGGTATAGAAAATGCATAACGGAACAATCCCTTTCATGGAGCATATTGCAGTGCATAAGAAATGATATATATTTAATTCAAATCTAATTAATAAAGGCAATCTTAATTATATGCACAACACTGATTAAACATTGCGGTTTTAATGATATTTAATATAGCACCTATTTCCATTAATGTTCAAACGCCATATACATCATGATGGGCAACCTTTTTAGTTCAAATCTTGTAAAAAACATTAGCATTTCCAGAAAAAAATATATACATGTACTTTGATTTTTAAATCTTAAAGAATGAGCTCTGATTTCTCTTGATGGTGGGATAAAAGAAGCAGCAATTTTATTTGCTAAGAGATGTAGAGGAGAAATAGGGTTAATATACTGGGTGTTTGACTTTCAGAGTCGGAGAAATCGGTACAAGTTCAATAGGAGAAAAAAAACACAGCGTTTTACATGGTGTTTTGGAGTACACTGCCTGATAAAGTAAAGCAGTACCATGTCAAAATATTACAAAATTATGACAGAATTCGAAACAACTTTTCAATAATTGATACTAAGTAATTAGTAAAAAATACAGTATAACTTCCGCTATTAATCAGTACACGAGGCATAAAAAAAACAAAAAAAAGTTGTTTGTGAAATCCACATACATTGTTTGTTTCAAAAGACCCATGCAGGAAATTTACCGAATTAAATAGAAAGCTGATAAAAGGGCAATGCTGTAGAATATTTTGTTTACCTGTTTTAGGCATGAGGGAATTGCTCTTCTCTATGAACATTATTAAGATAACCCATAAAAGCTAGTGGTCAATTCTTTGATTAATTTGTGCTTTGAGGAATGTCTGCTATTATCAAAAAGTTTATAATAATTATATTGATTAAAAAAAATCAAGTCAGTAACTATCGTTGCATATTTGTAAAATTGCAATGTCATACAAATAAAGTCCACGGTGTAAAACACCCGGATATCTGTTAAATATGATTCTATCACACAATATTATGCTGAAAAGGAAAATCAAATTAACAAGAATACATGTATTGGCAGTAAATACTGACTTTTTGGATGAAGCGCCGCGACAGCTATATATAACATAATGCTTTAAGCATTTCGTATAGTAAGACAAACAGTTACAATAGAAAATCTCGTGGTTTTTACAAGGTTCATCGTTCCTCTGCTCACAATTTCTGTTCCATATTCTGATATTTGATACCAATAAATATATGGAGTCTTTTCAACAATCTGCTAACGGCACCTGTATCTCATATGTATTGTCATGTGCTATTTTAGAGAGAAATAAAAATTGCTATGTGCAAATGCAACTTATAATATTTTCCTCGTGGAATAGCATTATGACAACACAAGGCTGATTTTTTGGTGTCATTAAAACAGGATATAAATTAGATGGTTTAAAACACTTTTCTGAACAACACAATCATTGCAAGCCAGGCAAAAAAGTATAGATACAATGGTCTTACCAATACACACAGGTAAACAATATATAAGGATTATATATATTTCTAACAATACACTATATCAAAAGAATTGGATATAAGGCGTCTTACGCCACATATTTAGTATATTCACTACCTCGACAAAGATTGACACAAAAAGAAAAACATTAAGACATCTTTGATAACAACCATTTGAAAAAATGTATGGGATAAAATGTTATGCACACCATTTCCAAAAACAAGCATGAAATGATTTTTCTAACTATTGGCTACAGAATAAAGCGATTTTACACAGCATTCTAACAAAGGGGTCTATAACAAAACATAGAGAACCTCCATTTTCTAACAATCATTCGGTTTGGCCTGTAGCCTGTTACAAACCCCTTTGTCTATAAACGGTATCAGGAGATGGGGTGCGGAAAAATGTTTGTATTTACAAATTGTGTATGTAGGTGATATATATATAAAAATATCACCCTATGTATTGAGAGACATAACTGCTCTTGGAGCCAACGGAAAACAGGACAAAAAAGTACTCAAAAAAGCTGACCAGATTGTCCCAAACATCACCGGTTCTTAGCGTGAACACTTTAAAAAGCATGACATTTTCCAGGACCAACACAAATACTGACGTAGAACACATATTTAAGGTTCTTTGACCAGAACTCTTCTGTACCAGAAGTAAGTACATGTATAAGCAAGACCAAACAAATAAAAATCAGGTTTAGATGCTGAATCATCAAAGGCACAAATAAAGTTAACAACATCATAATTTATATTATAAAAAAAAATAACGGAGTTTGCATATTAAAATAGACTGCCAAAACGCTGACCTTTCAGAAAGATACTTCTTCTTATAAGTAGAACATACAATGTGTCGTCTAAACATGTTGGGAAGGTGGAAAACAATCTAACCATAGTAAATAAAAGGTGGAAAAGTAATCTGATCTTCGAAAATAAAAGAATTTCGTAAAGTATTTCAGGATAAACCCTCACCCCACAAAGTCAAATGTGTTCTCAAAACAAGCAAAACTCCAAACACAGCTAGTTATGGTGATGTAAAATTCCAAACCAAAAGGGAAAGGTATATTTTAGAAGAAAGGACACTTTTAAAGGAACACAAAATACACCAGTTCTATTGAACAAAAAAAATACAACGCATATTTTATGTGTACACAACAACTGACTCGACTTTTGAACTAGTTCTTTGGTATTCGTAGATGCTAAACTTTGAACAATAAACAAATTTTACAACAAACTAGTATACTATGACAATATTACATTTTGGTATTTTTTGAATTTTGAAATAGGAAAAATCTACATGGAAAAAATTACTACAACTGCAATACTGTCCAATATAATAATAATGCAAAACTGATGAAGGGAAAAACTCTGTCTGTTACATGTTGTGCGGTGGTGGGGGTACCGTTTGGGTTTCAGGGCCAGGATAATTGGAATTTTGTTTCATAACTGCCTCTAGCTTTCTTTCTAAAAATGCAACTCTTTCTTTTAAATAATGATTTTCATACTCAAGTTCCAATGCACGCTTGTAAAAATTCCTTTCCTTTTCCTTCTTGGCCTCTCGCGACCTTCGGGCTGAATCATTGTTCTTCTTTCTCTTTTCCCAGTAGCTTGGGTCCTTCATGTCTGAAGGGACTGTGGACTTTTTTCTCTTGCAGATGAGCTTCCTAGGCTTGTATCCCGCCACGGTAACTCCGCTGGTGATCATCTGATCCACGTTGATATCTGATGTCGGACTATTTCCGGTCCAGTCTGGAAGCGTTGTGGGTTGACTGTCGCTTGTTTTAGAGTCGCTATCAGACTCCACAAAGTCACCGAGTAACTTCCGCTCAGAGTCCAGATTCGGACTTAACTTATGGGGAGTCCGATCTCGCATTTTGAAAGACGGTGGTGAATAGGGGCCCTCTTTTAAAGAAACGGGTTTTCCATTGCCACTTCGAATTGGTTCAAATAAATTTGGTTGAGTGTTTATCGCACAATTGTTCCATTTGCTTTCCTCAGTTTCGGTCTTCAGGGCTATGTTTGTGTCTGGGTACTGTTCGTTGGAATAGTTTCCGTATCTTTTGCGAAACTGATCTTGCGGGGGCTTAAAATGACTATTCCCATAATTTTGTCCATACGTATTATTTCCGTTTATGCTGCCGTTCGAGACTGGGTTGAAGCCGTTGTGTTGTGAAACATGTTGAAAGCCCGCATTGTGGTGAAAATCAGCATGCGTCTGTTGCCCGGGTAATGGCCAACAATCAATGCTGTTGGGTGCGAATCCCTCCTTCTCCATCTTGACGATTTGCGAAGACTGTGTCGATCCCGGAAAACCTTCAGAGGGCCAGAAGGAAGGAAGGTCGCACGCCGTGTCCATTAGCAACGCACCGGCCATTAGTTTTGAAATACTAGTACCGCTATCCTCAAACTGTGATGTTGACATACCTAAAAGGGAAAAGGGCACGGAAATATTAAAAATGCATTATATCATTAATTAAAGATCAAAGATTCTGATAAGGACCGATATAGCAATCCCGTACAAGAATCAAAATGGCACAACCGATGGGCGTATTGTGGGGCGATATTTAAAAAAAAAAAAAACACCATGACCAGTAGAAATTAAAAGTGAAATAAATTTTAAAAACTATACAATACAAACGAACAAGCTATAAAGAAAAAAAAACCAAAACAAAGTTAAATAAAACAACAAAAATAACTACAAATTTGTCTCGTGTGAAATTAACATTTATTAAAATCAATTTATTCTATTTTGAAATCATAATCCTCTTAAGTTAATTCAATTCTATGAAATAAATAAAAAATAATTTCCTATGCAAAAAAAAAAAAAAAAAAAAAATTTGACCTTCAAGGCCATTTTTAAAAGATTGTTTGTTTGTATCCTCTTCATACTCAGGGTAAAAAAAGGGTGGGTAGATAGGTGGAATCTTTTTTTTAAAGAAATATACTTGGTAGATTTCATTGAGTGCTCTTATTTTTATAATTTGTATAAACAATAATGTAGCAGTATATATGTCTACATTTTGAGTTAATTTTATTCTGTACAAACTGTTGGACACGTCTAATTCAGCCTTTTCTGATATTTCATGTAGGGAGAGGGCGATTAAGTTTTTAGAAGATGTGCTCAATCACATTGTATATGCTCGTATTTAGTGCTATAAAATATGTTCAATATCAATAAATATACTTCTTGACGAGATGGGAAAGAATAAAAAATCATTTCTCAAAGGTTAAAAACGGGGGGGCAAGCAAACAGATTTAAAAAAAAAAAAAGATGACCTCAGATAACTCCATTTTAACCTATAATTTTCATTCCATGCATATAATTCATAGGTTAAACGTCTTCATTAAAAAATCTTAAAACAACGGTGTATTATAATTTGAAGCAATAAATTCTCTACATGCATATATATTCAAACCCCTTCCCTAGGAATCTATGGCACTCAGTGTTATATAATGAACAAAAAAATCTTTAAAAAAAGTTATACATGTATATCAATACTTACAAAAAGGGGGACGCTTTGAATATCGGTGTAATTAGCTATAAATCAGAAGAATGGTCGCGGTACAGAAGTTTCATTTCCCTGAGCCTAACAGGAAAAATATTATCATGTGATTATTTTCAACGAATAACTTTATCTGATTTTTAAAGCATTTTCTTTTTAATTTTAGATCCTTTTTAATCTATATCATAAATAATTCGTGCAATAATTATGGAATGTAATGTTTTACACATGTGGAATAAAGCAAACGAGAAAATTTTTTCCTTAGAAGATAGTATAAATGAAAATATTTTTAATAAACTATTTATGATAAAGGTTATTTGATAATTTTCTTTATAATCAACATATTCAAAATTACACGTTTTCGAATTCATATCCGAAATTTCGTGTTTACTATGTCTTTCAACATATACATGTTGACAACATTCACAAAATATTTAACAACAAGGAGCACGCATTTAAAAACATGAACGACACTTTATATGACCCTATCTTTTCTTAATTTTTAATCAGAACTTAATCAGAATTTAAATTGAAGGGGGGTGTGGGGGGTGTTTGAAACATTATTTTGTATTAATGTTCGTATTTATTTGGCAGTATATATTTGATATGATATTCAGTACTTAAAAGGATTTAACAATGAAACATTTTGCCAAGATTTGTAATTCTTTTTTTTTTTGCATTATACATTGTATTTAAAAATAGATATAATTTTTTTGGAAAGCATATTATTTAAAAATAGATAAAAATATTTTTTTAACTATATACAGTACCTGTACATTTATATATACTGAGTATAGTAAACGATATATATCTAATTAATGAAACACAGTCAATCTGCTCGGTATATTGATAGTAAACATCCTGCGATACACAAATGTAATGAAATACGGAGTGACCGAAAAGTATAATTATTTGATTTATTTCCAAATATAAACTCAGAGTGCAGAAATTAGCCATTATATTTTGACCGGTAAAACGTGAAGTAGATCAAAAAATATAAATTAATTATTTCTGTATAATTTATTTGTAAACAATTTTATAGTCTAGTTATAAAATTATATTTCGTTTTGCCTACTTCATTAAAAATAGATTCTTTATGATTTTTTTTTATCATGGGTGTCACTGGCATCCGAGATGACCCGCGTTCATTTCAAGCCCTTAGTAAGTTACTTTCCGTCATAGGATTATTAAACTTTTAACTTGAAAATGACGAAAATATTAAATACGTGCCTTCGTACTGTATGTGGAAATTATTAAAACATTAAATACGTGTCTTCTGTATGTGGAAATTAATAAAATTATATTAAATACATGCCTTCTGTCCGGTATTCTGAGAACAGTTCTTTGATTTTACACAAAGAAACCATTCAAAGTTTTCTGCACGAGACAAGACATGGTTATTTTTTTTTCAAAAGTATTCATTTCATTATCTTAATGCTTTCATTTTCTTTCTTTTTTTTTTTTATTATTAATTATTATTATTTTAGCTCATTTAAAAAAATACCGGTTGCGTATTCCATTCGAGTAGTCCCATATCATTATGATGTTCAATACTTATCACGGTATATTTTAAAGGAAAAAAAGAATACGTAGTCTTTCATTTTTTATATTTCTAAAATTTACTACCGATAAAATTTCTAAAAAAGAAATCTTCGATAGGTACTTTTATTAAACATAATCAAGTTTTACTTGCTGCAAACTATTAGCTCAACACCGATATTTATATGAACGGAAGAAGTCCATGGAAAATTTTTTCTTAATAAACAGACACTTCTTTGGAAATAATTCAACGAAAAAAAAAAACGCGGAAAATAAACAAGCAGATCCTTCAGTACATCCCATAATACGCCTATTATTTTCAAACTTTCAAGAGTTTTAAGTATAAATCTTTTCCGTTCGACTTATTTTTTTTACTGGTCTATATACAAAAAAAAAATTGTAAACATTATCTTTTTAAAAATCTTTAATAAAAATAGGATTTAAAATCTATTGGTTTTGTAGTTATACCAGTGACATAATGAAATAGATCGCATAATTAAAATTTAAGATATTTTGTTTTTCTGTAAATTAAATATATCCAATGCAGTTATCAAATATATTGGAATATTTATCATAAATATTCTCATTTTTCTATTGCTTTCCAAAAATCTGTAAAGCAAATAAATTTTAATTACTTTATCTGAATAAATACTTACCGCACGTTTCGAATAAAGACAATAAATTATAGATGTGAAAAATTACATGAAATCACATATGCTAAACTGACATGTTAAAAAATTAAATTGTAATAGATTGTCAAATAGCAGACATGGAAAATCAATCAGAAAATGAACATCAAGATGATGTCTAAAATACCTTATCAAACCTGTTCCGACTCACAGTCATGTAAATAATTTTAATCTGAAATACTAAATTAAATTAAATAAAGATATTTTCATAATGTTTACATATGTTTTAGAGATGTCTAAGACATCCATTTTAAAATATGTAATTAATGTCACATTGTTTTCTTTATTTCCAGAATTTATATCAAAGATTGATAATTTGAAAAAAAATACTTTTGATGCATCTTTTTCTTTTTTCTTCTGTGCCGATTAAAAAGTACAATTGATTACAATCCTAATTATTTACTTATCACATATGAATTAGTGTATTTCACGTTATTTACGCACCTGTTCTCTTATATGCGTAAATTTCGCAGGCAAAGACACGGAGAAAACGTCATCGCCACGAATCGTAATCGACCAGACGCGGTGGCGATTACGGGTGGCGATACTATCCCTCTAGCGTGACCTTTTCACAGTAGAGTATCAAATGGACATTCTCCAGACAAGAGTTATCGTCCTTTGTGAAATATTCTTGTCAGCAGTTTCGTAAAAATAATAAGGACAGTCTATTAAATTCTTGAGGAGAGGAGTGATGAAAATATTTTGAACTAAAATAAAGAAAAATAAGATGTTTTAATTAACTTTCACTTTGATCGAATATAAAAGCCTTTTGACTAGCTTTAGAACTCTTTTGCCCCTGGAGATACTAAACTAAGTTGTGATGGCGTCCAGCAGGTGCAGTTTCATTGTCTGAAATTATATTGTTTGCGTTTTGCATTGAAATGTAAGAATAGACATTACTTTTTGTAAGAAGATAAGCTAGAATAATTGTAAATTATTCTAACTAAAATAAATTATTTTGTTATGATACTTGGTGTACGCAGTTGCACCTTTGTAATCAGAGAATTGTCAAGTCCTCTACAGTCTACTATCACAAGATCAGCATACGAAGCTTGAATTACCTACACAGCTTATTTACTTATTTGAGCTAGCTGTATTTTGCTACTTACATGTAATCGTATTTATTTCTTAAATTAGCATTTTTTTCAGGATATACAAACAGTCGAACTTTGATGCAGTGATCATTTTCAAATTTGAACTATTAAATCTGATTACAATTTATTTTTAAAAAATGTGACTTAAAGATGTTATCCCCCCCCCCAAAAAAAAAACTTATAGTATTTATTGTTTTTTTTTCCACAGGCACTTGCTTCGGTAATAAATTTTATACCCATAGTATTATAATAACACAAGGTGTCTAATGGTTGTGTAGATAAAGTATTTAAGAAGACATAAGTATAAACAGTTTGTCAGTGCATTTACTCTGAAAGTGTAAGTGAGTGTGATTCATCATTCTGGGGGGAGAGAGTTACTCCATGTAATTCAGAGTTGGATACCTTGTGTTATATAGGTTAATAATTTATATATGAAACAAATGCCTGTGTTTTTTCTGAGTAATTTATTATCAGTAATACTCTCCAGAAATTAGGCAGTGGTCTTTGAATGGAAATTTCAATGCATGATTAAGAGTAAAAGATTCTTTTTAGAAAACAGTGGGAAAAAAACCCTCCCCTGTATTGTGGGTTTAATGCTTGAATTTTTTGTGACTATATGGGGATAAGGATACCTACAGATTTCAATGGAGAAGTTAAATATTATTTAATGTCAGTTGTATACTTGTTACAAATCTTATTTGGGGGCAAATTTTTGCAAAGAATTAAAGTACATGTCTTATCCCACCCTGACACCCCACTTCATTTTCACTAAGTGCATTTACCAAAAATTACAGAAGTTTTGTAATATTTTTAAGCATTAGTATTAGTTGAAAAAAATATAGGGAAAAAAAAATGAAATTAAGGATTTTCTCCCTCGTAGGAAGCAAAGGCAGTACATGTTATAGTATATTGACTATAAGTAACATAATAAAAGTGACATTGTGTAAGATCCATTTATATCATTCAGATAGTCTTATCAAAAAAAAAAACTGTGGTAGGTGTTCAGTAATAATCCTCTACAACACTTGATAAAAGACCTAGAAAAAAAATCTGTGATCTTTTAATTACCTGTCATAAGGGACTTATTTAATCGGTTACAGGTTTATTTATTAAAGTATAAAAAGGTATGAATAACTCATGAAGAAGCATACTTGTCTTCTTTAGAATGGAGGAAATTCCCATCAACAAACAACAAGAAAGGAGTGACATAATTTCAAATTGTGAAGATCCATCAAGTGTAGAGGAAAAAAAGCAGATGGCAGTGTCAGGAAATTCCATAAATATACCTCAAGAAGGGGACAGAGCTTTCAGGGCAATTTCAGAGGGTAAGCTAGGAGAGCAGGAATCACAAGGAATCTTTGAGAACAAGGCTGCCTCTCTGATGAGCACTGGGTTAAGTCAGCTAGGAAGTTACTCTTCAGGAAGTGACTCTGAAGATAACTCCCAGCCACCTGGTGAGGTTTGTCAAACAACAAGTGAGATGTCTGATGAGAAGAATTCACAATCAGAGACCGTTCCCAAAAGTTCAGTTAATATAGGAAAAACAACAGAGCAAAAGGAACAGGATAAGGAGAAAAACTCTAACATTTCTGAAAAGGCTATGGAATGTACAGAAAAGGTCAAGGAAAGTTCAGTGCAACCTAAAACACACGAAAGAGATGTCCAAAAAGCAGAGGATGGCAAAGGTGAAATATTATTTGGTTCTAATCAAGACAAAACATCAGAGGATTTACAGAGTGTGACGTCCTCAGAGAACAGTGACCAAAAGAGTGTAAGTCATAATGTTGAATCTGAAGAAAGTGATGTGTCTGAAAAAATAGGATTGCCATCAGAGAGAAGCCACAGGTCTGAATCAACAGGATTTGAAGTAGAGGAGGCAGTGGATACTGGGTTAAGAAAGCCGTCTAGAGTGGAGGTGATTGATGAGGAATCTAATTCAAGCTTTATCAAACTGGACAGTAAAATGAAGGACTCTCCATTAGAAAGTGACATTCCACCCTCACCTTATGGAGTTTCAGAAATCTCAGAGACCCCTGGACCACCATCACCCACCTCTATTATAAGGTATATAATTATTATATGCAATTGTAAATAAAATTCCTCTGTTTTCAATATTTTTTGTGCCAGTTTATTTTAAGAATGATTTATTTCTTTTCTTTTTCATGATAGTAATGGTGACAGTGTTTCCTTGCAAGCGTTTGATAACTTTGGACCCCCAACTCCATCATCTGTGGCAGAGAGCTCTTCAATGGGACCCACTCCATCAAAACGGTCCAGATTGGCCGTATACACACCAAGTCAAGAACAGTAAGTTTTTTCATTGTATATATGTAATGTAAAAAAAAAGTTACAGATACCAAGCTTCATTTCTACCAGGAAGACTTTAAAGCATATTTCCATAAATATGCATAGAAGCAAGCTCAAAGTTGATAAAACTGGATTTTTGTAAAAAAAAAAATTCTTTCATAATTTTATACTTTCTAAGAAATGGAGAGAAAAATTGCAATGCTTCAACAACAAATTCATATTTATGTATATAGGAATTTAAATGTTGGGCATTTCTTTTAATCATCGCATTTATGATATGCAGCTAATTTTCACATCTTGTGAAACTTCTTTTCAGCATTACAGCAAATAAGTTGTTTGAGTACCAGTGGCCCACAGACAGTTCAGGGGAACATGGAGAGTACTACATGCTACAGGAACAAGTGTGCGAGTATCTGGGGGTCAAGTCATTTAAACGCAAGTACCCAGGTCAGTCTGACATAAAACCATTTAAGGGGAATACCCACACTAGTATAGTATCTTGTTTCCCTTTTTACTTTAAAAATAACTTCAGTTCAAAGTGATTAAAACTAAAACAATTTTTTTCAGATTTTCAAAAACAACAGCATTCTTTTTGACTGCCTGACCAAGCACCCATGAATGGAAACATGGGTCATAGCTTTGATATTGTGTCATTTGATTTAACACAGGCAGAATTTGTTTTTCAGTTTTGATTTGTTACATTTCTTGATCATGCTTCTAATATGTTTTATAACAAATAAAAAAGTAACTGAAATTTAATTTGAAAGGGTAGGGATGTAAGACAAACATCCAAACTTTACAGTTATAATAATTTTCAGATAATAGAAATGTCTATGACTGCTTTTATAAAATATATTGGTCTGAAGCTTGTTGGCAACAATAAGTCATTAAATTCTCCTTAAAATTTTGAAGGATATTAATTTCAACATCCTATCTATTCCCATTTAATAGAGATAAACAATCTTAATAACAGAATTAAAGTATTAAATGAAAGATATCCTCTGATGATTAGTGATAAAGCATAGTCACAATGTCATGCTCGTAGAAGTTGGCCTCTGAGAAATAATTACAAGAAAGCATTTTGAACATTTTTAATGAAGAGGTTTCAGATCATCACACAGAACACATCTATTGCTCATTTGTCACAATAGATTAATATTATACTGTACTTCTAGAGAGTTTTTATGCAGAAAAGTTGATAGAATTAAAATAAGTTTCTTTGGTCACACTTTCAAAGTACATGTATTACATATTCTGTATACCGGGTAAATATTTTTTTTTCCAGATTTTCTTACACAAAATTCCTACATGTACACTTTTTAGGTCACCTGAGTAAACTCAGGTGACCTATTGCTATCACTTTTCGTCCGTCGTCGTTCGTCGTGCGTCGTGCGTCGTGCGTTAACATTTGAACATTTTCAGCTTCTTCTCTGAAACCACTGAACCAATTTCAACCAAATTTGGCATATAGCATCTATGGGTGAAGGGGAACAAAAATTGTGAATTTCATGGGCCCTGCCCCCCTGGGGCCTGGGGGGTGGGGCAAAAACCACTAAAATTAGTGCAATCTTTAAAAATCTTCTTCTTTACTCCTGGACATCAAGCAGTCAAACTGTTTGCATGATTGTAATCAGCATTGAGTCCTCTACCAAAATTGTGAAATTCATGGCCCCGGGGTCAGGGGTTCTGGTGTTAGGGTGGGGCTAAATAAGTATATAGTGAAATTTCATGAATTCTTTGAAAATCTTCTTCTCTGCTCCTGGGTATTAAATAAACTAACTAAGTGCATAGTTATGATGAGCAAGAGTGCCTCTACCAAAATTGTGAATTTTATGGCCCCAGGGTCAGGGGTTCTGGTGTTAGGGCGGGGCTCTATAGATTATATAGTGAAAATACATAAATTCTTTTAAAATCTTCTTCTCTGCTCCTGGGTATTAAATAAACTAACTAAGTGCATAATTATGATGAGCAAGAGTGCCTCTACCAAAATTGTGAATTTTATGGCCCCAGGGTCAGGGGTTCTGGTGTTAGGGCGGGGCTCTATAGATTATATAGTGAAATTTCATGAATTCTTTGAAAATCTTCTTCTCTGCTCCTGGGTATTAAATAAACTAACTAAGTGCATAGTTATGATGAGCAAGAGTGCCTCTACCAAAATTGTGAATTTTATGGCCCCAGGGTCAGGGGTGCTGGTGTAAGGGGGGGGGGGGGAGCTCTATAGATTACATAGTGAAAATACTTGAATTCTTTGAAAATCTTCTTCTCTGCTCCTGGGTAATAAATAAACTAAATAAGTGCATAGTTATGATGAGCAAGAGTGTCTCTACCAAAATTGTGAATTCTATGGCCCCAGGGTCAGGGGTTCCGGTGTAAGGGGGGGGGGGGCTCTATAGATTATATAGTGAAAATACTTGAATTCTTTGAAAATCTTCTTCTCTGCTCCTGGGTATTGAATTAACTAACTAAGTGCTTTGTTATGATGAGCAAGAGTGGTTCTACCAAAATTGTGAATTCGATGGCCCCAGGGTCAGGGGTTCTGGTGTAGGGGGGGGGGCTCTTTAAATTATATAGTGAAAATACATGAATTCTTTGAAAATCTTCTCCTCTGCTTCTGGGTATTAAATAAACAAAATAAGTGCATACTTATGATGAGCAAGAGTGCCTCTTCCAAAATTGTGAATTTTATGGCCCCAGGGTCAGGGATTCTAGTGATAGGGTGGGGCTTTATTGATTATACAATGAAAATACACTAAATCTTTGAAAGTTTTCTTCTCTGCTCCTTGGTATTAAGCAGATGAACTACCTATGTAGTTATGATGAGTAAGGGTCCTAATCTTCCAGAATTGTGAATTTCAAGGCCCCAGGGTCAGGGGTACCATAAAGGAGGGGGGGGGGCTGTACTTATATACTGAAACTGGATGAATTGTTTGAAATCTGCTCCTTGGTATTTATCAAATATTTTTGAAAAGCAAGGGTGCCTTTTCAAAAATTGTGCAATGTGTGGATCTAGGCCTAAGGGTCAGGGGTTCATGTGTGATTGGGGCATTACTGATCATGCTGAATATTACTGATTACTTGAAATGCATTTTTTGTTCCCCTACCCTGCCTATGGGTATTAAGTAAACAAACTAAGCAACTGCTAAGTGTATTGTTATGATGATCAATGGTGCCTATTTCAAAATTGTGAATGCCATAGCATCTGGATTAAAACATGAATCAAATTCAATCACTGGAAAGTTGTTGCATAATGCTCAGGTGACCTATAAGGCCCATGGGCCTCTTGTTTAATATCTGTTCATTTTTAAGCTTAATTTTGAAAGAAAGTTTATTCATTTAATAGTATGCATTGTGCTTAAGATTTTTTTTATTGGTACCCCAACATTTTTTTTTTCCATTTTTAATCTCATTTTAAAAACATATATATCCCACCTTTAAATTTATTTGAATTGCTAAAGAACAGATTTTGTAAAATAATATACTGTAGATCACCAAAGTTTACCTACACCTTATTTTTGCAAAATAACTATTTGGGATAAGCCGGAATATTTTGACTTCTGGTTATTGTTGTAAATGACCTATTTAATAAATATACTTGAGATTTAATTGTTTTTTTTGGCATACCTTCTTGCATAATTATGTAACAAAAACACAAATAGAAATTAATATTAAGTGTAAAACACATAAAGAATAAGTGGTTATAGAACTTTCAAAATTTGTTGACCTACAGTATCCATTGTATTTGAGATACTGTTATTTGAGATACAAAGTTCAACTCTAATTGATTATATTTTCACAGTACATTATTATTTTTCATAATCTGACTTATTGAAAATAAGAATACAGTAAAACAATTTTTCCACTGTGTATGTGACATTTTGTGAATTAGTTAGGCAAGGAAAATCATGAACAGTACATCTTACATAAATTATAATAGCATTTCCTTCAATTAAAATTAAATTCTGACTGGGTCATAAGAAACATGATGGATCCTACTGAGACTTAAATTACCAACAGAAGTCAAATAATTCCAAGTAAAGGAGATTTATAGTCAGAGAATGGAAAATTGAATAACAGTATTTTGTCATGATAGCAATTATACACACAAAAATCGCACAATTCATGCATTTATAAAAATGTAGTAATTTTTCTTTTTTGATAGATTTCCAACATCTTGTAAATTATATTGCCAAATTATAGCCAACAATCAACATGAAATCACAAACAGTAGACATAGAATTGTCATCGTAAAAAATGGGATTTGGCAATTGCAAAGGTTTTACCAGAAAACATCCTTACCTTAACCTTCACAGGTGAACTGTTAGTATTCATGATGGATACATTCAAATTTATTGAGTAACAGAGACAAAAATTCACATCTATTGGTACCAAAGTTTACCAAAAAATATAATAACAGTGATTTAGTATGTACAAAATAAACACTAAATTCATCAAGATTATTTGATAATTAAATCAATTATTTTGGCAGTGAAATGAAAAAAGTAAGAAAATGGAAATCAATATTTTTTAATGTATGGTCCATTCATTTAATTGTTGGGGAGAAGAGATTTATTTGCATAATCACAATGTCTTACTCAGAAATTCACAATGATTTATTTTCCTTTCTAATGTATGGGTTTAATGTACATTAGTTATGCATAAGTCTAAAAGATGGAGAAAAAAATACCAGTGATACATATATAACAATCAATTTGATTTCAAAATCTTGTGTAAGGTGAAATCAGTTTAAATACACTTTACTGCATTGTACCCAAAAAGGTTTAAATTATAACTTGTGCATGTATATTATTAATGGTGTTAAACTTTCACTGAGTAGTAGAAGTAACCTAAAATTTTTAATCTATTATGCTGTCTTAAAAGCTGACATTTAAGACATAGTCTCCCACCCCTTTCCCCTTCTCAAAAAAAAAATGATGAATTTTTCAAGCAAAATTCTGATTAATAACTACATGACATTGAAGTTTATTTTAATTGATGCAATGAATTTTTTTTTTCATTGCATCATAGATTTATCATTCCGTAATATGAGGTACTGACATGGTTGTTTGAGTGGGGAAAATTTGATATTTTCATTTTCCAACAAAATCTTAAGACTGAAAGGTTTTTACTCCAAGAATTCCAATGAAAAGGGAAGTAGTCTGAAGTACATGTATCTATGCTTCTGTGGCAAATTTTAAAACCTCTACATTAAATAAATAAAAAAAGATAGATTTTACATCAATGAAATGCTACCCCTTGTTCATTATATTAGTACTGTATGCATTAAAAAATTTGTCACAGTGATATAATCTGAACTCTGAGTCAACTCCTCCAGCCAATTGGCATCACAATCAAAAGATGCATTGGCCATTTTCCTGAAAGTCAAAATTCAAGGAAAAGACATTTGAATTTGCTAACAATTTGTTGATTATGTTTGTATTTTATTTGGGAATATTTATTTCTTAATAAATTGAAGAACATTTTTATCACTAAGATGTGAAAAATACATAATTTTTTTGTATTGTGTACAAGTTGTCTAAATAAAACCTATGTTTTAATTATTTGTTTAGATTTGTTTCGGAGACAAGTGGACATTAAGGAGAGGGTTTTTCTGATGGAGAAGGGTGTGGTCACAGAGGGCCAGGCTGATCTAGGTAAGCATATCAATTAACGGACAAATAATAGATGTCTATAGAGCAAACAAAAGAGTTTAATGTACCGCATTGGTGTCAGAAGCAAATTGAAAGTTGGGGGGGGGTGCTAATTGAAAGAGAAAAAAAATCAAGCCTGAAAGAAAAAAAAACTTGACAAGCAAAAAAAAAAGAGGAAAAATAGTAATATGTCAAAAGGCAAAAATCCTATTTCATTGGGGAAGGGTTGGGTGGGGAAGGGTTTAGGATCAAATTTCTTTTCCATACCATTTTTTTTTCAAACCCTACCATACCCTTCTTCATACATGTTAACTCTCCCGATTTAGGCGGGAGTCTACCGCTTTTTCATTCCATCTCCCGCCTACCGATTTAACTCAGAAATCTACCGCTTTTCTACAAAAGTTGCGTCTAAAGTATTTTTGGTTCGCTTGGGTATCCATTTTTGAAGCCACTCTCATAAAATCTCGCTATATATCGCGTGATTTGACTCGGAATCATACAAACGCTTTTTTTGTAAATAGATTTCAAGCACGGATTTGACAACGACAACAACATAAGACTACCAGTGATTACATTGGTTACGATAAATTAATCAACATCCCTGTCATGAAAAAGGAGATACAGCTTTTAAAAATTAGATGAAAACATTTCACATCGTCTTTAAAAGCACAGAAGCTCACAACTTTTTCAATAAAACAATAGAAATCACTCGATTGACCAAGCCATGTGGCACATCTCTACTTTCGTTTTCGATCATCGCGGGAAATCTGATTTAACGAAAGATACGAACTTGTTTTAGATCTAGATTAAACCAAGCCATCATATGTTTTGTTTAAAAACTGAGTGAACATTCAGAATTATTGCTTCTAGGCTATTTCAGCAAAGATCACTCTTCAAAAGGCTAAGTAAAACAGCCAATCCAAGCAAATTGATGAGCATGAAAAATATTTTAATTTGTACAATTTATGTCAAACTTAAGGAGTTTCTGTCTTCTTCTTTGCTGTTGATATTTAAGATTAATTAGTGTAGGTACCTGATTTCATTTAAGGCTTATAATATACATGTATATTACATGAAAGATATCGATAATCCAAGCGTTAAACAACACGCGCGCAATGCTACCGCTTTTGAGGTTTGAATCTCCCTCTTTTTCATCACAATAGGTTAACATGTATGCCTTCTTAGACTACACTGCAAACTGTGCCTGTAAAAGGGGGAGGGGGGGGGGCTAAATCTATGCCCCAATGTTCAATGCCTATATTACATCTATTTTTCCAAAAAGAGGGGGATACAATGATGGTTTAAATGAATACTACTAAAATTAAAAGAAAATTAAATAAACAGAAACTCAATGACAAAGAACATATATACATTTGTAATGTTTTATGTCCCTGTTATTCAATAGTTTGAGGAGAGACAATATGATACTGTGTAGAATTTGGTTGAAAGTTGAGGCATGCTGTTTTGCAGACAGATCTAGTTTCTAGAAGAACTTACCGCTATAATGAGCATAGATATATTACCTTCAACATACTCTGGTATATTGTAATATCTTTGTGAAATTTAAAAATTTCAAAACTTAAATACAGTTTTTGAAATTCCAAAACTTATTTTTTCTTTAATTAAATTTCATAACAATTACAATTCCTCTACCTGAGAAATATATCACTGAGTCATATTTAGGCTGATTTCAATAGGAATGTTCGATCTACTTGATCAATACAAAGGGCTCACAGCAGATGTGACCGGTAAACAGGGGATGCTTTCTCCTGTTAAGCATGTGATCCCATTCCTTGAATTTCTGGTGGTCTGTGCTTATGTCCTGAACTGTATTGTTTTCACTTTTTAGGAGATCAATCACTGTTCATTATCTTTATCTTTTTAACTTGTGTAAATCCTGAGATTGTCAAATTTTCCTTTTTTTCATTACTGATCACTTACAGACTTTAAATCATAAATAAAATATGCATATGATATTAAAAAAGGCACAAACAATAAAAGTTTGTTTTCTATTTTAAAGTCATTTTGCAAAATTGATTTACTAAACACGACAGCAAACATTTAATCTTTACCGAAAGAATATATCTTTGATTTTTATTTTAAACAAATATTTTTAAAAAAATCAATCAACCATTCAACTTACCAGTCATCAGGAAATTCATTGTCTGCATTCATACAATGTCTGATGCTAACCATTTTTCTTTATGGGGCCACCTGTATTTATACCCCACCCATCACAATAGGACATAGGTTATACAGGAAATTAATAGATACTTTGAAATCTAATATTTATCACTAAATATTAATTATCCCAGTAGACCTATCAGGGTTTGGACAGAAACTTGTTTGTTTCAAGCTGAGACTGTTTGCAAGTAAAACCACGGCTGGAGATTCAATTGTCACATCTGATGGTGGACACACCATTGTAGGCATTAATTAAGGAGGAGCCCTCCACACACAGTATTTGTTCAACATTGAGGATATTTTCAATCATTTTTGAAAAAATCAGATTTCTTTATGTTGCTGTTTAAAATTGTATTTGTATTGTTTCATATATTCCTTAAATTCATTCCATATCACATACAGTTTCTGCACTAAAATTAAGAAATAATACAAATATTGAAATATACATGTAGGTAGTACCAGGTACATGTATCTGTATGAACAGTGAAACATGGTTAAAAGTGAAAATGCTTATAATGAATTCATGCTTACATTGAAGTGATTTTCATTCCCTGTAGTATGTATAATTATTAATGAGATTACAAATTACATATATATAATGAATTCAAATTATTTTGTCCCTAAATGTACTTTGCTATTACTCTCTTTTACTGCATACTGCAATCATATTGTCATTCCTAAGCTGGAAGATTCTTAATTGTTTTATTAGAAAATGCCCATCCACCTACCACTGTTCGTAATTAATTGTTTAATTAAAAAATAACATACCAATGGACACCTTTATCTTCATATTTAATTTAACAGAAATAAATGGAAGATGCATGTATAATTGTGTCTAATTGTAATGGTCAGTAGGAGAGGTAGAGAGAGAGAGAGCTAGAATTGTAAATGTTCACCTGTCCAGGTGTGTGTCATATTCTCCAGTGGGTATGCAGATTTCACCTGAAACAAACAAGGACAGGTAGAATAGGGCACTAAACTTCTGTGTTGTGAAATTAAAACATGTACTTGACGGTCTTATAGCTCTAGTTGGACACTGAACATTGTTATTGTAAATGTTAGACTATCGAATTTCACTGTTTCTACACCTTGAGTTTAGAAACAGTTTTTACCTAATTATCAGCATATCAGATATCAAATGTGATGCTGAAAGTAATTAGCTTATAATGGAAACCCTGCTAGCAAATAATAATTAATAATAAGTGAATTTAACGGTACTTGAAACCTTATACATATAAAGCTATTGACATTTATTTGCACATTATATTGGGAACTTTCATTTTTGCTTAATAATCAGATTACTTGTAAATTGTTTCAAAAGTAGTCAAGATGAATTTTGGTAAATTGTAAACATTTTAAAATGATAATATGAGTGTGTGAATTTGTATTATTCTGTAGCTTTTATAATCATTATATTTGCTGATGATTCTTTTCCTGAAATTCCAGGGTTGACGGCACTTAAGAGTGACGAAGTGTGCGATCTAATGCACAGGGATTATCCCTCTATGTACCAGGTACTATGGACCGAAAGTTATCCCAGCTAGGGAATTAATTCTTCTTAGTAGAAACTCAGGATTTATTAGGAATTAACTAGAATATTTAAGTTTACATTAAAAAATAAAATAATATCTGCAGCTTTAACTCCATTCAGGTGTCAAGAGGAAAGGATATTATTGTATGCTTGTTTAAGGTAGTCTTATTGTCTTAGTGTAGAAATCTGTGTAGGTGAAACACTTGTAATTTTCTTTTTCGAAAATCCCGATATGATTCAGATGAAGATCCGTGTTTCACATGAAACTTATAAATGCTCTAATATGTTGCCTTAAGTATATACCCCAATTACTTGAATTTTTAGTGGTAAGCTATTAAAGTGTCATAAAATGCTTATAAAATTTTGAATCATCTTTATCTTGAGAGCTGTTTTTAATGTTTGTTTTATAAACAAACAATATAAAGATCCTTAAATTTAAGGCTTAATTAAAAAAAAAATGAGATGACATGATTTTTCTCTTTAAAAGCTTCTTTTTACTGTAGGAATATGCAGAGGTCCTGCATGAACGTCAGAAACAGAAAATCAGTGAAAAGCACAAGGAATATGAAGTGGTAAGATAAAGCCTCACCATAATTGTACCTAGCATTAAAAAAAAATGTCTTTAATAGAGAGGAGTCAATGTTTGACTTTAAATTAAGAATGACGGAGGGATAAAGGTTAATGTATACATACAATATATTGTTCATATTATACACTTTATTGTATATATGCATTGTATTGTATTAAGGGACTGTATACTACTGAACCAAACCTAAATGTGCACTAAAAATTTTTCATATTTACAACTCATTTTGGGGAATTAGGAATGAACAGTGTGGATGACATGAAAGTGTGCTGAATTAAATTTAAAAATTGTGTTTCTTAAGCTAAAGTATTGCTTTCAAATTTTTCAATATTAAAGATCCAACATTGTATTTATATAAAATATAAATTCAGATTTCAAATATGAAGAAAGAATTATTAAAAAAAAAAAATAACAAGAATATGTTGGTAATGGTTTTTGTAAAAGATATAGTGTTAAAATCTTATTAATAATATAATTTAGGCAATGTAATTCAAAATAGGAAGACAAAAATTTATACATACAAGCATGGTATTGTATATTAGTCCAACTTGGTTTTTCTCCACTGAATTTTTTTTATCATGATTCCATTTTCACCTAATGGGAATCAGAGAAACAAAACAACTGTCACTTTACTGGGTATTTTGTTGCATATGGAATCTGAAAGAACAGACCTATAGACAGTTATTCTTCCTGGAAAACATTTTGAAGCATTGTTGTGATTTAGGGGTCACTATAATGATGCACTTTCAGAATGTAAAATACAATGATCTCATTCTTTTTATCCTTTCCACTTCCCCATATCTGGAAAAAAATATATGAAACATCCTCCTCTTAGACCTACTTCCTAATACAGGGTTTCCTATCCTGTGTGTGGCCTCTTCATATCGCTGACTGCTGAGGAGCGGCCCGCTTCTTAATGTTGGATTTCCTTATCCTGTCTGTGGCCTCTTCTTGTCACTGTAGGGATGCTTAAGTGCGTCTTTGACATCATGTTTAATTTTTGCTTACCTTTTTGATATGTTTGGAAAATTTTCTATGTCTGATGAAAAAAATAAAAAATACATGTCATCTGCAAATTCCCTTGTCTACACCAAATTGTCTGATGAAAAAAAATAACTTGTCAGATACATGTCAACAAATTATTTTTTACTGTTGGCCCAATTATATCCCTAGAAATAGTATATTTCTTTTGGAAAATTTTCTATGTCACACCAAATATCCCTTGAACACCAAATTGAACTTCTAAAAAGAATATGAAAAACAAATAACTTGTCAGTCAAAGTACATTCAACAAATTATTTTTTACTGTTGGCCCAATGTTATTATCAGTAGAAATAGTATATTTTTGGGGATTTCATATACATAAAGTATGTTGCAGTAAAATTTTGAATGTTTCTAAAATGCTTAATTTGATTAAGATCAAGGTTACTGAATTAAAAAAAAAATGATCAGTCTTTCAAATTTTTTTTCACAGCCGAAATTGGAAAAGAGTAAGATGAGTATGTATATCAAAAAAGCAATGAAATCGGCAGCGGAGTGGAATTCTAATTTCCAGAAGGAGAGGCGAGAAGAAAGGAGAGCTTACCTTGACCTACAAACATTTGTAAGCCTACATTTTGTTAATCTGAGATGTAACATTCAGAGCATCAGATGTCTTGTAATGTTATCATTGATTAAATTGTCAAGATGTCTTATCACGAATTTTATGTCTTAAATAAACAGTAAAACTTGTTTATAGATAATATACATAAAAAGAGTATCTTAGAAAATTTTAGTTCAAAGAAGAATTTTCAATGAAGCAGCGCGTTTTCTTTATCATTCGAAAATTTAATCGATATATATTTTTCTCTGAATTTTATTTTTTACTTTACATTTTTAAATGACATTTAGAGTTACCGGTAAGTGTGTGATTAGAGTTAAGTGTGTGATTATTATGTTTGTTCAATTCAAGTTGAATAAATTAGACTTTTTATCCAGCTTACATATATAAAAATTGCGTAATTAATTAACCTTTATCTTCAGAACATTCACTACCCTAAGGGCCGTTATAAGGTGCTCCCCAAAGAGCTGACCAAACCCAATACCTATCCCATCTCATTAATACCGGGACAATTCCAGGACTACTTCAAGAGGTACACAGCTCTTTTAAAAAGTCAACTTATTGATTTTATATTTGCTTAAATGTTTTATTAAGTTTTGTTATTGCTTACCAAAATTACTTGATAGTTATCTCTTTTATAACAGTTGTTTTCTACAAGAAATAAATAATTCCCAAACCTCTTGCACTGTTTTTACATATCTTTAAATGTACATGCATGTATTAGAAGATACAACTGTAAAAATATTCCTCACCAATGAGTGGCATTTTATATTCTTTGATGTTTGATAAGTATTAGAGGAAGCATTTTACAGTAGATAGTGAAATGTTTGGGGCCTCTTTGTACAAGCGGCTAAATGATCCGAGTGGGACAGTATGCAGGGGAAGTGACAGAAAGTATACACAGTCTCTCTCTGCTCTCTGTGACCTTCTGGTGGTACTTTATGACCCAGTTCAGTGTATGATAATCTCACGATTAACTGTCTCTTTTTCAAAAATTATAAGTAGTTTCTGATTACATGTACTTGATAAACTAAGTTCATAAGAACTTAAAACTGTTTATTTTTGAATTGGTAAGTTATTCTTCCTAATGATGTGGTATTTCCCCATATGATTAATGGTTAATGAATAGCAGTTTTATCTAAAAATCTGAAGTATCTTATAATGGCATCACTGGAAGAGAGGCATACATGACAACATTCCTTTACAACATTGAGAGCATTGAATGGGGAATAACATATGAACCATGTTTTATTAGGAAACAATTCAGGTTAATGAGCTAATGGTCACCTTCCTGGAAAAAGAGGATGAAATACAGTAAAATATTTATACAATTATGATAATTTGGTCTGAAACGAACTATGACCATTAAAATGATCCTGCTTTTATTTTACAGGTACTCCCCTGATGAGATCAAGTATTTACCTATGAACACCACCATGTTTAATCCCCCCAAACAAATGGGGACCACCTTAGCAAACCCCCAAGAGCAGGCAGAACCAGAAACTGCATCAGAAGAGGACGAAAATGTTAGTCATGCACTAAGTTCTTCTGTGAATTACTGACTATTATTTATTATTGTGACATCCTTAATGTATAATGTCTTCCCTTCCTTAAAACACTTGATGCCAATTTTTCCTACAAAGATGATTGCACCTTAGATATATGAATGTATTCCCTCAACAGAGTCTGTTTATTCATTAACATGATTTTCCTGGAATGTTAAACTGGTGGGCTTAAAAGATGTAAGAGCCGTTTGTGAGGTGGAAACTCAAAAAAAGATATGAACATAACGAGGGGGGGATGACAAGATGATTTTAAATGCACAGTTGTTGCATTTTTACAATAATTTATTTAACAGTTTAATTGTTTTTAGTTAAACTGAGTAAAAACAATGTACATTTTGGTGTTCCTAGAGTATTGAAAAGGCATATAATTCATCATGTATTCTGCCACACAGTGACTAGTTTATAGTTTTCTTGTTTTTTGGAGTGTACTGACTGTCGTAGATTCCTAATGGATTTCATAAAGAAAATTACAATAAATGTAAATATATAATTTTAAATAATAAATAGAAGGAATTAATAATTTATGTATCTAAGATGTAGGGAAATACACAAAAATATAATGCTACTATCTCTCGAAACAAAGGCAACATGGAAATTTTGCAAATAAGTTAACAATTGATCAGAATGGTTTTATCTTAGTGGTTTCTTTTTTGGTTTTAGTGTTCATCACCTGTTATTGGGGAAAAAGTGTCACCATTTATGACCTAATTTATGAATACTATTTTAGGAGTTTTAATCCAATATTGTTTTGCTTATTCAAATGTCTATTTATGGTACCTAAAATTAATACCGGTATGTTTATTGTTCTCATAATGATTTTCTATTAACAGATGTTTTTGAACTTCCTGTTTAGATAATATTTCCTTTCATCAACAGCTGGATTTTTGTTTTGTAGGGGTCAGGGTCAGATTCGGATTCTGATGATAGCAGTAGTGGTTCTGAGGGGACGAGTGGAGGGGAAGATGGAGAGAAAAAGACAGGTGAAACAAAGGTAGGTCAAGGTGAAATCAAGGTCAAATAGTGGTTCTGAGGGGTCAAGTGGAGGGAAGATGGGGAGAAAAAGACAGGTGAAACAAAGGTAGTTCAAGGTGAAATCAAGGTCAGATTTGGTTCTGAAGGGTCAAGTGGAGGAGATGATGGAGAGAAAAGGACAGGTAAAACAAAGGTAGGTCAAGGTGAAATCAAGGTCAGACTGGTTCTGAGGGGTCCATTGGAGGGGAAGATGGAGAGAAAAAGACAGGTGAAACAAAGGTAGGTGAAATCAAGGTCAGACAGTGGTTCTGAGGGGTCAGGTGGAGTGGAAGATGGAGAGAAAAAGACAGGTGAAACAAAGGTAGTTCAAGGTGAAATCAAGGTCAGATAGTGGTTCTGAAGGGATAAGTGGAGGAAAAGATAGATGGAAGGATACAAGTGAAACAACTTGTGTATTTGAAAAAAAAAAGTTACTAAAATGAATATTAATTAAAGAAATAAATTAATGTACACAATCATTGAACAAATTAACATGTGGATTTGAAAGGAAAAAAGGGAAAACAAAGTAAGAAAATAAATTATAAATTACATAAATTCAATGGGAAATATGGACTCTGAAATTTCCTCCTCGAAATTCCCATTATCAGAGATAAAATATACAAGTGTTTGTGATATAAATTAAAGAGAAAAGAATGCATGTATTCAAATTTGAATAGGTAAGAGAAACTTTGATATAAATTTAGATATAAAATATAACTTATGATGAGTTTGAATCTACGCATCTTTTAAAAACATTTTTGTTAGATTAGAATTGAGATATTTAAAATCTAAATTTGACTTGAGTCTGTTCTCAATTTAAGGTTTTGGCTGCTTGATCTGGTAGACATTGATGCTAATTAGTTTAAAATTTCATTTTTCTACAAATTCTGTCATGAAGAGAAAAGTATCTTGGTGAGCATAATAACCTATGAGCCTTTTGTGGTAAATATTTTGTCAATTTTTGTACACTGTATAAATATGATACTCATTACTGAAGGTGACCATACGGAACATAACAAAAAGAGTTTGTGAACATACCAGTTAAATGCAGATCATTGTCCATTTTCATGCTTGTTTTTTTTTTTTTAGGAAGCAGCCCCAGTTGATCCCAGCATCTGTTCCATTTGTCACCAGAGTCAAAATGGAGAGGTCAAAAGTGAATCTGATCTTGTTGTCTGCTCTGAATGCAGCAAGGGAGGTAAGCTTTTCTCAAAGAGTCATTAGAAAGAGTTATGAGAAATGCAATTGCTGTTCACCCAATTTTGTTTTATTATTTTTCAAAAACAGAACTGTAAATCACTTTTTATTTGCGAGAACTTTATTTTTGCATAATTAGAGGAGACAATAAGCTCACAAACATATCATTCTTGCGTAAAAAAGTAAAAATTATGGCTCGCTAATAAAGAGTCAATGACTATCTGGCGAAAATAAGGTGTAGCAAAAATTTAGTGATCAACAGTATTTGCTTTTTAAATTCAAGATTTTCTTATGGTCATTTGTCCATGTATATCTATCAAGAAAAAAAAATGTGATAGATTTAGAAAATATCCAATATGGAAAGCAAGAGAAAATTGAATTTTATCATAGACAAGCTATTTATAGCTATTCAATGACATCCCAACTCTTATGGCTATGACTTTGTTATAATTACAGGACACCCCGCCTGTTTAGATCTGACCAATGAGATGGTGGTGGTTATTAGGACGTACCCCTGGCAGTGTATGGACTGTAAGACCTGTGTGGAGTGTATGGATCCGTATGATGAGGTCAGTATATAGACATCTTACAGACAATGTACAGAGAACAAGTGGGCAGTGATATTTATGTTCCCTGCTGTAATACATGTATTGACTAGTTTATAGATCTATGTCATCTCTGATGTATAAAAAGCAAGTGTGCAGTAATTGTAGATCACAGCTACTGCTTTAATATTCTTCAGTGTATACCCAGTCTGATAACTGAATAATGAATATTTTATGATTTAATTAAGGAATAAAACTGACAGTCTTAATCAATTATTGATTTTTTTTTAAATTTCAAATAAAAAAAGATTTTTGATCATATGTGCATTGTCCATGATTTGCCCTTTGTCTTTATACATGTCTATATATTTGTTTACTGATTGGCAGGACAAGATGATATTCAGTGACCTCTGTTATTAGGGGTACCACACCTTTATTTTTATATGTGTCTAACTATATTTTTTGATTGGCCAGGACAAGATGATGTTTTGTGACCTCTTTGATCGTTTAACTACATGTATATTCTCTCTGATTGACAGGACAAGATGATGATCTGTGACCTATGTGATCGTTTAACTATATTCTCTCTGATTGACAGGATAAGATGATGTTCTGTGACCTCTATGATCGTTTAACTATATTCTCTCTGATTGGCAGGATAAGATGATGTTCTGTGACCTCTGTGATCGTTTAACTATATTCTATTCTCTGATTGGCAGGATAAGATGATGTTTTGTGACCTCTATGATTGTTTAACTACATGTATATTCTCTCTGATTGGCAGGACAAGATGATGTTCTGTGACCTCTGTGACCGGGGGTACCACACCTTCTGTGTGGGACTAAAGTCCATCCCCACGGGCCACTGGAAGTGTAAGAGTTGTAAAGGACCAGAGACCCCTAAACCCTCCAGGACCAGCAAGACCCCCAAGTCCTCCTCAAAAGGGTAAGAGTATCTCACAAGAGTTATCTTTCTTACTGAATAATTCTAAACCTTATAGCCATTTAATTTTTTCTTCATTATCTAGAGCTTTTGTTCCCTTCATTTTTTATAACCTATAGGGTTGTCAAATTGATCAATTTTTAGTAACTACTAGTTACTCACCTGCCTCTTTGATGGAGTACTCAAATAACCGGTACCTCATTTTTTTTCAGGAAACCAGAATTTAAACTTATTTTTTTTCATGATCTTATCATGGGTGATCCTAAATTCAGTTTCACAGAGTTGACTTAAACATATTAAAGTATTTTTTTTAACACTTATCTAAATTTCTTAATAATGAAACATTATTACATGTATATTCTATTCTCGAAACATATAAACATTGATAAATAATTGAATAATTTTTAAAAAGGTCGTACATGTAATTAGGCAATAAAACAGACGTAAAAAAGACTCCTCAGAGTACAAATGTCCACTATAGTGTAGTTAAATAGGGGTCACATGATACTGAATCTGATAGGTGTCTATGGTAAATTAGAACTTGTAAAAAGTTTTAAAAAATAAACAGATATAACATATTTTGATATTAAATAGATTTCGCAATATTATTGGTGGGAATTTTGACATTAACAATGTTCCTTTGATTACGAACAATGCAATCATTTTCACTACTGTGAAGGATGCTACATGTAATGACTTTCACTCCAATTATTGTCAAACCAGAACAGGGTCTTTAATCCAAGAAAGTTAACTGAGATAACAGTATGATGGTCTCTGAAAGTATCATTTTCTTAACAAGTAAAGATAACATTTAAGAAATGTAAAGTTTAGAATTTTTCTTAATACTCTAGTACTTATTTTAGGATTCAATTCTTGGGACCTTCAAACAAGTATTTGACTAATCAAACACATGATCATATATTTGTTGACAACTATATCATAGTCATAATCAGCAGTCTTAAAAGTATGCCTAGTTATAAATTCTTCTTTCTGATAGCACTGGAAGAAAACGAGGAAGACCTCCTCTTAAAGGGAAAGACAAGAAAAAGTCCAAGAAGAAGTCAGAACCAAAGGAGGAAGTAGAAGTGCCTGAGGAGCACACAGAAACAAAGGAGGAGGAGGAGGGAGAGGAAGAAAAGGAGGAAAAGGAGGGGGAGGAAGAGGCTGAGGACATGGAGACAGAGGAGTCTCAGGAGTAGAGGGGGCAGGGAGGGAGGGAGGGACATTTATCTGGAGTAGAAGGGACAGTCAAGGAGTATCAGGAGTAGAGGGGACAGTCAGGGAGGAAGGACAATTAGGAAGGGTACAGATGTGGACATTGTAAATAGTAAGATAGTAAAACCGGAGACAGTAGAACTTTTCTCAAGTGTGATCTGGGTTTGATGATACAGAATTCATAAAAGTGGGATGTGATTTCGGAATGAACGAGAACTGTTGTAATGTCCCAGATATATTACATGTAATTCCCTCAAATATTGGAAATTGATATTGTGAATTATGTTCAAGGTGCAACACTGTAAAAGTGCTGAGTGAAAAAGTGACTGAAGTAAATTATGATTGACCAGTCTGTGTTCTGTGTTGTTGCTGTCATGTAAATAAAGATATCTAGAACAAATATAACATATTTAATTCAAAATGTTATACTTGTATATATATTTTAAAATCTTTAATTATGATTATTACAGTTTCTGTGTTCTATGTTGTTGCTGTCATGTGAATAAAGATATCTAGAACAAATATAACATATTTAATTCAAAATGTGTTCTTATCTTTGTATTGGACTTTTGATTTTAAAATCTTTAATTATAGATGCCATATTACAGTTTCTGCATATTTATAAGGTTTAACATAAATAATTTTAATAATTAATTTTTGATAAATTGAGGTTTTGATAACATATTGCTTCAGCGCCAACATGAAAAAAGGAGTTTATCTGAATATTTAAAAAATAGTATCTTTGACAGATTCATACAATTTGGTCTATGTCTCTCTGAGAAATTGGCACCCGTATTATTATTACATTGAAATTTTCTTACCAGTGGAAATGTGCTTTTCAAGAAGCCTACAATTGGCACTCATTTTTTGCCTCTTACTTATATGGTCCCTTAAAACTCCATAATATTGCCAAATGTTTTGTTAAACACGCAACTTTTGATTTCTGTTAAGCAGGCTCAAACTTGACTACCGGTTATGGTATGGAAATTGTTCAACCGTTATATTACTGATGTTTACCAAATTGAAGATATTCTAATTTTAGCAAACACTTTACATAATTATTTCCACAGGAATGACAGCTTGGTTTTGAAGAGAAATATCAAATGAATAAGCTGGATTGTAAAGCTTATGTTATGAAGAAAGCAAGGTTCTCTATTAAAGAGCCTTTTTGGCCCAGTAAATTTCTTAACTTCTCAGTTTTGGTTTACAATGCACTTGCACCTTTGTCGACTGCATAAATCTGGTATTGGTCAGTAATTTATTTGCTACTTGCATTAAACTTCATGCATTTGCCTTCAGAGAAAATAGAAAAAAAAATTGGCAAAGTAGGTAAAAGCCCTAAAAGTCAAGGTTAAATGGATTGCAACGCTAGTGTTTAACGTAATAATAATGTGACAAACAGTGCACTTTCTTAATAGCATAGACTTTAGTTACCTCTTAAAGTAAAAATGCACTATGAACAATTTTATAAAGTAGGTCAAAGGTCAATGGTTGTGAGGTATGTAACCATGGCAATTTACAAAAGCCATAGTTACAAGCAATACACCATATCTCTTACATTTCTTGAGATACATGTACATGTATAAGGTGTGACTGTAACGTGAAATATCAAATAATCCAGGCTTATAAAGCTTAACTTGCCTGAAATAAAGCAAGACTCTACCATCACCAGAAAAGCTAGCTCACTGGCGAGGCAGTTCCCTTCTAGTTTTGGTTTACAATGCACTTCCCCCCCTTGTCGGAAGTATTGCAAAGCTTAGTGTTCTCTAATAATGTGACAAACGGTGCACTTTCTTAATAGCATAGACTTTAGTTATCTCTTAAAGTAAAAATGCACTATGAACAATTTTATAAAGTAGGTCAAAGTTAAATGGTTATGAGGTATGCAACCATTGCAATTTAAGCAACACCAGCACCAGAGTCACTACACCAATTTTGTAACGTGAAGCGGTACACCAAGGGTTATCTCTTACATTTCTGAAATAGAGGTACATGTACATGTATAAGGTGTGACAGACAGACACCAGATTAAGTTATCCCTAAGTGACACTTTGCTAAATGCAGTTGACACATTTCTTGCTAGTTAATGCATTATGACATCATGAATTTCATCTTTATTCCCATAATCTGAATATTCCTATAAAATGAATTATATGGGGAAAACGGAACAGTATTCAACCTCAAAAATTTATTCAAACAATACAAAGAAGCAGAGCAAACATTGACCTCCAAAACATCATAGGTGGGACCAGGTGCCATGGAGGAGAGAGCATTCCCTGCCGTTATACCCGCCGTGTGGTCCTTGTCATGATCGAGAATTCAACGGGAAAATCTGTCACCAATTCAGTACTTGCTGGCAAAGTCATTGTATCGACCATAGAACTTACGAGATGATGATTTTATAAAATGATACTGTTGATATTCTTGTTTCATCAACTCGTTTTTCAATAACTTACCTCGTTTTATAAATTGTTCTTACGTAGAGTATGCTCTTGCTGACATGTATCGAATTTAATGAGAGATACATGTATAAAACCCATATGCAGGTGATAAGGGCATATCACTGCAGAAGTAAGGGAAATCGACGATAAAATAAAAATGGACAAAAGTTTGTAATATTTTCAATATTTTATCAGCTGCGGATTATCTCTCACTGACAAACGGGGAACTACAGTGCCACTTATTGAAGAAAAAAAGTGTATATTTATTGCGCACAATAAGTTGCGCTTGATTCTGGATAAATTCTTCCAAGTTCTTACCCCAGTTGCAAAAAAGCTAGATTTCAAAAAAATTAAAATGTATCAAGTACTCTCGTAGTTGACATCTGCACGGAGCCCCTTAAATTGAATCGAATTTTGAATAGAAATCGAATCTTGCAATCCAAAATGGCAGTATAAAAAGACGAAATGTTCGATGATCTCAATTTCAGGGCCAGTAGGGCTATTAACAACAATTATAAGAAATCTTTTGTTGTGGAAGCAGTAACAGAATACAATAGGAACATACGATTAGAAATATTTTGAGTTGACAATATTAAAAACATGGAAAAATAAATTTAGAAAAAGCGCACTTTTTTGTGCGCAATAAATATATATTTTTTTTCAATTTGTGGCACTGTAGCTCTCCGTTCGGTCATTATATTTTTATCCAGAAAACCACAGTTCTGTAACTACGTGACAAGCTGTAATATATTCATGTTGAATGGATTCGAGGGCAAGACTCAACCCGAAACTCGTTAGTTCTATACATTAACTTAATATTATGCTGACGTATATTGTGCTGACTTAAATGGTTGCGATGTATTCTTCTTTAAAAAGAATAGGTTGCAATGAAGATGATAACATTGTAGCTTCGATTTATTTTCCCCTCATTCATTATTAAATTAACATGGTCAATTAAAAACTGTTGGTCTCCATATGAGTGAAAAATTCATTCATTTCAACATACAATCAATCGAAACTGTTCATTGTTGAATTAGCATGGTAGATGTCAAAATTCAAAATTTGTGTTTTTTCCCCCTGAAAACCTACAGAAATTTCCATACAGTGTGAAATCAAGAAAGAGAGTAGAAACAATGTGCCATACAGAAGTACCCTATACGTAAGGAAGAAAAATGGCATTTAAATGGTGAACCAATTGAAATTGTTGACATATATATCAATAAAAAATGTTTAATAATACACAAAAACAGCTGGCAATCCAGGGTATCACCAACAGAATTTTCACTTTTTGATACTTATGTTGCAAGCATATTGAATTACGGTTGTGAAATATGGGGGGGACACAATGCGCCATATTGAAAAAGTAAATGTTTATTAAATATGGAAATCACACTGGTAGACTGCCTATGAAAATTGTCATTTTTCATTTTTAAATTTTGTGTTTTTTTGTTATGAATATTTGTTCGAACCTGCAGAAATTTCCATATCACAAAAACTTTATGAGAACAGGGCTTGAACAAGACAAAGAAATGATTTGTAAACAATTTCCTGTAATCAAACAAAGAATAAAAGATAATTTCATACAAAATCTCATGGCAGAAATTAATTGTTCAACAAAATGTATTTTTTACAGACACATTGTAGATTATTTAACCTTGCAATATTATTTTACCTAATCTTTATAAAAAACAAATAAGTATATAGATTGTCTTCCCAAACCTTGCATAAACTGGCAGGCATAGAAAATTGGGAATTTTTTTGTGAATTTTGTAAAAATATCATAGAAGACGAATTTCATTTTGTTTTAATTTGTCCCCTTTACAAGGACGTTTTATTACTGGAAAAAACCAGCATTCAAACTAGTCCAATTATTGAGTGTACAAAATTTTTCTGAGCTGTGTAAGTTAGGTAAATTTTTGCATTTAGCTTTTAAGTTACGATCCATTCTTCGTTTGCATTGTTATATCAGAGAGTTATTATGTGAGTCAAATTTGTTATATTTAATGCAAATACCAAGTGAGGAAATAAACTAGGCGCTGCTTTTTCATGTATTGATACTGTATTCCATGCCAATCTGTTTTTTCTCTTAATTATATTTGTAAAAAAAAAAGCAACACAAAACACAAAACTGCATTACATTTTCATGAATTTTTCAAAACAATTCATATTCATTGTCTTCTGTACATATGCAAAGTAAAACACGAATCACAAATTATTTTTTAAGTGACAAAAAAGTGTAGCACCGCTGTATGCTAAATAAATATGAGCGAAATTCTGTATTGAGGTAGATTGTCATATACAATAAATACATACATCTTTAGATTTGACAAAGCATTGCTTCTGTTGAACCCGCTCAGGCAAAAATTTCACATGCAGAATTTGTCTTTATGGATGATTTCCCTCCCTATAACTGCTCGTAAGTAGAGTCATTTGAGGAGGAAGATGAAAAATTATGATTGTTCCACGGAAGCGAGGAAGCGGGCGAAATTGTCGAATAATACGGATTGCTTAAATGTGCAGGAGTGATCTGGTGAAATGACGACGGTTCGGAACAGAATATGGGTGGGTAGTGACCAAAATGTCTGTAGGGTTCCGAATGTCGTAACGTGGAAAGCATAAAACCTGGCTCAGCTAAAAAATGGTAGGGGTGAATATAGCCATAGGGATTGGAGTAGGGGGATGGAAAATGTGGGTGGTTTGGTGAGAATTCGCCGCGTCGCTCTCGATCCATCGGACTGTTTGGGTTTCTGCATGGAATACTGCGTGTTTCACCAGGTTCCTTCCTTTGTTCAGCACTTGCGGTCAGTAAGTCAGACAATACTGGTAAATCACATCCAAGGGCACCTGTCGGCAACCCGAGAGTGTTCGACATGTATGCTCGAGTTGGACTTCGCATCATGGCGGCACTACCAATT